TCAGCACAAGGCTCTGCGACAGTCCAGCTTACCGCAATCCTTTTACGTACCCTTCTTGGTTCCCCTGGCCTAGGGATGCTTTAGGAGCTTGTCGAGCATCTTGAGCTCTTCTCAGCTGATCTGCCAGGATCCGGACACCTCTGTGGTCAGGCAGCTGGGGCTGGTGAGCCCAAACAGAAAAGACCTGCAAAAAGATCATACGTTTTCACTCAAATTTACTTTTTGATCCTTTAGTACTTTGTGGCTGAGGACGACTTGCTTTGACTGAGATGCAAAGATTATTTTGCTTGCCAAGAGAAAAAAAAAAAAAACAAACAACGCTGTCTAGATGTGGTTTTCATAGAGAAGGCATTTTGGTTTTGCTCTGCTGCTGGCTAGTGATGTTCCTGTAAACACACAGGTTTTGTGCATGGTTACACATCTGTGGTTTCTATTAAAAACACTGCATACTACTACAGTTGAGCCAGAGATCCCACTTCTGCATGTAAAAATGAATTGCACCGTGTTGTTAAAGCTGTAAATGTTCTCTTGCAAGGCTGTAACTTATGTCATCCTCCTTCCTAATATTGTAGGAGGCTTTTACTGCCCAGCAAATTTTTCCCGGTGTTATGTACTCTAAGGCAAAATTATGTTTCGTTGAGGATATGTTCGTTTTCCCTGCCTCTGGAGTTGAGCCTTGCTTTGATTTAGTTATATTGGGATTATTGAGGGACTGCTGTGATTGCAGATGACACGCGCTATTCTGCCGCAGAGCTTCTCAAAGACGCTAATGCTGACTGTGTGTCTGTTACCTGGCAGCCGAGCCCCATCCATCACGCTAAGCAAAGCTTAAACTCAAATGAGGATAAAAAGGCGAGATAGACCACGCCTGTCGGCTTTGCTGCTTGCCACATCCCGCCTCCTCTCAAAGGGACTTCAAAGCATGACCTAAAAAAAGGGGCAAAACGCTTCGAGGCATTTCCATTCTGGCGAGAGGAGCGGTGCTGGCTGGGGCTGGTCGGTGCGCGCAGGTGCCGTTCAACGTCTGGTTTAACACAAGGTGCGCACGGTTGTGACGGGCACTGAACCCAGGGCTGCATGTCTTCCCTAGGGTCTTATGTCCAGTGGGATATCCATCCCTTCTCACTCACCCTTGCTTCTGGCAGCTGCTCCGGTAGCTCTACCAGCTGCTTTGGTAGCTCTACCAGCTTTCGTGGTACCTGATGAAGGTAGCTGTGACCTTTAGCAAGAGACATGGTGATGGTAGCAAAATAACAAGAATTGGCAGCACATGTTTGTGGTGTTTCTGCTAACAGAATCATTATAGGGGAAAAAAAGTGTCTCATTGCATTTCTTTTCAATTTTTAGTCCTTATTGTTCTTTCTGCCCCCTTGGTTAAAGAGCTATTTATTTCCCAGTGTTTCCTCCCCTCAAAGTTACCTATGCGCCATGATTCAGGCTTGCAGTAAGCTGACCAGAGCTCCACAGCTCTCACCTTGTAACGCCTACGCAACTCATTTTCTGTGGCAATTTTCAGTGTCCCTTTGAAACATCCACACGCTCCAGCTCTGCGTGCACCATTCAGCGATGGGTTTCAGCAGTCGGGTATGCAGAAGGAGGACAACATCCCTTCCCCGCTCTTCTGTTTGCACACAAGCACCGCACTTGCCCTTTTTTCCACGGCTTCCCGCTGGGGCGTTGTTTGTCCGCTACAACCTTTACACCCCTTTCAGCATCACGGCTGTCCCGGATACAGACCCCGTCCTGTTGGTATTCGCACACGGGCGCTGGTGCTTCGCGTGAGCCCAGCTTCCCCAGCAAGGCTGAGCCCAGCCCTCCCGGCAGCTGCACCCTCCTACTCCTGCTTTACCCCTCCAAATAGTCCTTGTGCTTACATACTTCATCCCCAGAGGCTTTAATTTTAAGACCAGACCCATCATTAAAAATCCCGTCCCTGGAAAAACACTCTCTTTGAATTATCATCACCCGTTCACAATTACTTTTTCTTTTTTACCCTGGGTCTGGTAGTGCGGGATGGGACCCGTTCCCCTGACACTTCTCAGCTGCTTTCAGGATCTAGCTGATGACTTAGGGGATGATGTAGAGGTTTCTTTTCGCCATTCATTAAGGCCAGGGCGCAATTTAGCATCTCCATATTGCAACTGTGCGTGGCTAGCTGTGAAAGGGGAGTCGCAACAAGGCAGGTTGTCTTCTCACCACCGGGCCAGAAGAAGTTCAAGTGCTCCCAGGCTTTTGCGAATCTCAGAGCAGGGGGCTTTCAGTGTCCCAGGTGGGCAAGAGGCTGCAATATTGTGGGGGTCAGCAGGAGAGATGTATTTACAAAATAGCAATTTTCCCATGCTTTGTCCCCCCCAACCCTCGGGCAGGTCTTACGTTCCCGTTCGCCCAGTGGTTCCTGCGTTGGGTTACCTGCTGGGCTTGCTCTGCCAGGTACCTATCCAGCCTGCCTGCCTTCTTGGCCTGCAGACCAAGAGCTCTTTTTCTTTCTGAAGCTGTTAAGAATGGCTTTTTCCTTAGTGGTTTTAGTTTCCTGCAGCAACCCACCTAAATCAGAAGTTACAAAGTGCTGGAAAGCTGCTGTTTGCTCCTTATCTTCTTTTCTGCTTGCCTAGGGTACTCACTGCACCTCACGCAGCCAGGCCATATCGGGGAGGTTCAGCAACTGAAAGTTAATGGCCCAAATCCCTGTCATTACGTCGAGGGAGAGGTGGATGCTCTTAACCAGCCACCTTCGGAGATACCACTGAAGTAGGCTCTAGGTGCGTCGCTCCAAGTCCTGAGATGCTAAAGCGAGATAGGCTTTTATCTGAAGTTGTCTCCTTTTGCCTTTGAGCAATTACTGATTTTGGCCCACACGTTCTTCTTAATTATATTTTTTCCCATTCCCTTTGAAACATTGCCTCCCAGCACCCGCTGGGCTTTTTTCAGGTAAGCAGTTAGGGCATTAACGTGCAGAGGTACTAAGCTGGGGAGGGATTTGCATTAGGAAATCGCTTTAGACAGACCTATCAGTTTCCCTGATGCGTGGGGAAACTTCTGCACGTCGGCAAACAGCTCAGCAGTGTGTCATTGAGTGCAGGGGACCAGCAGCAGTGCCGCGCCGCGTCTGTACCCTTCGCCCGTAGCGCCTCTGTCATGGGACACAAAGCCCCAGCGCCGCCGTAAGGCAGCAGCAGTGGGAGAGTGGCCAAAGAGCAGTGCCAGGACCCTGGGAATCACGGGGAGAGGAACCAGGGACAGCCCCCGGTGCACCGAAAGCCATGGCATCGTGGATTGCAGGTGCCTGCAAGGGAGGGAGGAGGCCAGGACCTGTCCCTGGGTCTGGTGATGCGTGGTGGGACCCGTTCCCCTGACCCATTCCCCTTCCCAGCTCCTTTCAGGCACTAGCTGTCACTTGGGGATGATGTAGATGTCTCTCACTCACCCAGAGGTGGTAAACCAAATCATAAATTTGCAACCGTGGGGCCAGAAAGCCTCGCAGCAGAGATGGAGACCAGAGATAGAGGAGGAAATGGATGTGACAGAGAGAGCAGCAGAATTTCTTGGTAACCTCAGGCTGATGGCACAACTTGGTTTCCTGCGTGGGTCAGTGGAGGTTATGGGCATGGCTCACGTGCGTCTGCATACATGGGCAACAGCAAAGGGTTGGTTAGGTGGTGCGTAGGGATGCGAGGCTTTCAGATCGGCGTGAGCCGATCACATCGAAGACGGTCTATAAATCTAAAGTTTGCAGCACAGCAGAGGCTCCTACCCACGTCTGACTTTGCGCCTGTTCTGAACAAGTAGGTCATCACCACTCAGCAGATGTTTTATCGCTACTTATGAACTACTTATGGAAGCACTCTTTTTAGAAAAGACTGGAGCCCTTTTACTGCCCCTTTTGCCTGTAATCCTCTATTTGCGTCTTGTTCGGGCTGCACTCATTGGACCAGTACGTGTGTTTAACAGCAAAGGCTGTTAAACCCATTAATTAGCAGTTGCTTTCTAAGCCTCAGGTTGTTATTTATTTGCTATTTTTAAAAAAGTACAGCAAGCTGGACAGTTTTCTTCTTTTTTCTACCTCGGTGATGAAAACACCAGAGCTATTCATATCATTTTTAATGACCGTTAATGTGCCTCTCACTTTACTGGCTTGATCATCCTGGTGTGACGAAGAAGCAATCAAATCACAAAGTGCCACTGGAAAAACAAGTGAGTAGTGGAACAATAGCCAATAATGACATATTTGTGGATAAATTCTTTCAGATAACTTTGGAGAATAATATTGGGGTCGTTAATTGAAATTTATGAGTCCCATCAAGATGACCCAGCCAGTTTACCAAATCGTGAAGGCGAAGATCCTAAGCAGTCAAGCATCCCAGTGGTGGCAGGGACTCCCTTCGGCTGTCACAGATTTATCAGCAAAGCGGACCAAACACTTGTTCTCCTGGGCTACAACTGCTTAAGAGAGGAATTGTCAGTGTTAGGTGATCCCCCCACAAAGAGCTATCCTTTACGGAAGAGAAATGCTAGGTGTGCCTTGGGGGCCATCACTGGTTCTTCTCTCAGCGACGTCCAGCTCCCAGTCACAGCAAAATGCTGAGAGGGTTGAACTGAACAACCTCCGACAAGATTTTCAAGTGGGATGAGCACATGGGATGAGCTCTAAATTTAAAATTTCCTGTTCTTCTTGGCTTCCTAAATGGTCTGAACGTTTACAGAGGAAACAAAAACCCAAAAATAAAAAGGATCGTGTGGAGCCATGGGATGGAGGAGCGGACATAAAGGATCTTACAGGCTCTGGAAGTGCTCTCTGCAGGATAGGTGGGCTTTGGTTCTCTTTTTTACTGGCACATTTTACTTCTTTCCAGCTTTGCCGGAAAGGGTTGGGATCTGTCACTGCTGTCCCCAGTTTCCATTCTTTTGTCCTCTCTGAACTCAGACCTTCCTTCCACAAACCTCTGCCCGGGCTGTGGTGCAGTGCAGAGAGAAATGCACAGGCTTGCAATACGGAGATTTCCAGGTTTTCAGCTGCCCTCGGTTTTTCAGTGGATGTGGTTGATGTGCTGTGGGTCGGCACCACAGTAATTTGTTCACGTCTGTATCCAGAGAGTACCATTTGCAGCCTGTCCACAGCGCGGTACGGGGCAGTGTGTTGAAGGAACATCTTTGCTTGCCTCGATGCGGGCTAAAGCACCATCTGCTGCACTGTGATAAAACAAGTTTGACTGTAATGTCTTTAAAAAAAAAATCTAGCACTCATTATGTTTTCTGTGACTAAGATTTTCCAGGTTCTCTTGTAGTATCTTAGTGAGAGAGATGCCTTCGGAGATGCTGACGTGCTCATTTTCAGCTGTTAGTGTGAACTGTTTGGGTCCAGGATCACTTGCTCCTGACCCGCTGCAGGTGCAGAGCTCGTGCTGCAAGCTCCTTCCTCTGTGGTGTGCAGCAGGGCCCGGGGATCTACTAAGGAGGTGCACAAAACTTCCTCCTATTAGTAGCCCTAACGCTCACCCACCTTCTCCTATGGGGGCGCACACGCAAACCCAGTGGGAATGCCAAGCATCCGCATGTTTTTGTGCATACAGTGTATGCCTCTCACACATCCACGGATCTGTGAACACTGGTCACTCCTTACAGCTTGATTTCTTCGCACACCGCGTAATTGCAAGAGCTTAATGGCGGGGAGATCGATCTCTTTTAGCCTTCAGGCCTGGCCATGGCTCTGATCGCTCACCCTGGCCTTTCTGCTCAGTACGGGACGTGGAGCCGTGCCGAGCGAGCCC